CGTGTTCGAGAGGGAAAGGAGCCGGGTATATTTTGGGGATATTCCCCCCTGGCCGCCGCTGCTGATCGCGCCCATGGGGGGGGAGGCGCACCTGCAATCGTTGAACTCCTCATCGCGAGGTTCGTCCGCGAGGAGGTGGAGTTGCAACGAGCGGGGCGCCTGCTCTACAAGTAAACTGGCTGCCCTCCAGGCAGCTCGCGGGGTGCCGCCGGGGCCAGCTGCTGTATCTCTCATGCGCATCAGGCTGTCAATGAAGCGATCTTCAGAGTGGACCCAATCGTGACGCTGGTGCGTGCTAGTAACATCTTGCTCATGTGTACCATCAATTACTTGCGCATGATGAAGGAATATGTTATCGTCATTAATATCACTGCCAGGTTCCCCCTCGAATATCTTACTCCAATGCTCGCGCGATAGTTGCTGGGGGTACTTCGGACCCCCGTGGACATTACCTTCAGGGTCTTTGACACTAGCTAAACGTTGGGTAGGCGGGGTAGCAGCCCAAGCAGACGAGGGCGGCGAGTCCTAGCAAGCGCAATGGCCTGTGCGTCTCCAGCAAGATCGGGAGCCTCGGGAATCCTATTTTCCTCCTGCTCTAACATGTCACGGTGTGTCTGGGAGGGGAACTCGTGAAAATCCCGCCAGCGAGTCCAAGCCATCATATCGCAACCGAAACCGAACAACTTGCGAAGCTCGGGGGAACACGACATGCACATCGCGCACGACGCCCATCACGTCGACGGTGTGCGCGTAGAAGCTGCAGGCAGACATGTGCCTTGGAGGCTAGGCAGGCAGCTCCATTGGTCTCGATGTACTGGATGATTTGATGGCGCGCACTCCTCATTCGCGCTTTGGTTTCTTTGGCGCCCGTGCTAGGGGTGGGGTCCAGGGTGTGCTCGGCGAGCAACTGATCCAGGAACGCGAGGAACATCGGGTGTTTGGCGATCCAGGCGGGCACGGCAGGAGGCTTCCCCGAGGGCAGGTGAGGTTTCATGCAGAGGAACGCAGGCGAGTGGTCGGAGGGCTTCGCGAGGTTCACGATGTCCCAACAGGTGCCAGAGGAGACGCTGTAGTCCAACAAAACTGCGGTGGGGGTATTCGTGTATATGCGGTCAAGCCCGGCGCATGACGCGTCATCCTGGGTGGCGCGAAGGTGGGTGCATGAAGTCTGCTCGACTTCACAGAAGCGCGGGCAAACATCATCAAGTACATTCGGGGGCCGAACCTGGCCAACTCGATCAGACCCGTTGCGAGCCGAACAACGAGTTTCACCATGTACAAGGTAGTTTTAATCCCCCAGGATAAGGCGGGAGTAGAGGGAGGAAAGGTGGGACCTGATGGCGTTCATCATCTGTTTAATGTATCTTTCAATTCAGTCAGGATCGAGATGGGGCATGGCGACCTGTAGACAGCCTGTAGGACTGGAGAGAGCCAGCGCTGCGATTCTGCCAGTGCGCAGTATCTCGAACGTGTGGGGGGTGAAAAGCTTGGATAGAAACTCGCGGATGAAGCGCAAACTGCCCCCCCCCAGCGTTGGCGGTCGGGCGGGGCGAGCCGAGCGCGCGCATGTCCTTGACATCCTTTTCTAAGGTATCGGGGCCCCCCTAATGACCGCGCGCCTCCTGGACACAAAGGACATCGTGAGTGCGGAGGAGGGAGGCAAGACACCTGTACTTGCTACGGCTGCGAGCACGTCTGGCGGCGAGCGAACACAGAAGCGCCCGCGCATTCCACGTGGTGCCGGCAGGCAGAGGTTGGGAGGGCAAACAGAGGCTCAGAGCGGGTGGCGCTACGCCAGCAGGCTGACGCCCCTCTCCAGCAGGATGCAAAGGACGTTGACCAGGTTGTGGGCCCAAAATGGGCATGATGTGTCCGTCGCCCCACCCCGCGGTGGCTGTCACAGCACTGGTGATGTTGTTGGCCGCCGCAAGGATCGAGCGGACGGCTGCGGGATCCAAGCCCCGCTGGCGGAGCTCGGCCTCGTTCGTGTCGAAGTGGTACTCGTCGTCGTTCACATAGACTAGCTGGATGATGGGCCAGGTGTCCTGCTTGTCGGTCAGCGCGGGGACACCCTTGAAGCCATTCGCTCGCAAGTAGCAGTTCGGGTTCAATGAGTCGGCGTTCTTGCACAGCGCTTCGATATGCGGGTAGGTGGCTGCGAATATCCTTTTCCTCGCACGCGCTTCTGGGGGAAGGTCTCCGCGAGCGCGAATATCGGTGCCCGTGCCGTCGCAGTTGGTGTGCCACTTGGAGCCGTTCTGCGCATGCTGCAAGCGGAAACGTCTGGCTTGATCAGCAGACGGGAACTGAATCATGTAGGTTTGGCCCGTCGCGTGAATCTGCGTGGTGACACTGGCGAGTGATTCGACGTAGATCGCCTTGAGCTGGTTGAAGTGGTCCTGCATCACTTTGCCGATGACGGGGCGCGGCCAAGTGCCCATGAAGACCTTCGCTGGGTTGCTGTCCGCCTGGCTGGGAAAATCTAGCATGCGCCTCTTGCTTCTGTTCGCTGCCGTAACCGAAGCCGACGAGGCCGCAGAAAATGGGGAGATGGACTGGAAGGCCATCTGGCGCTGTAGACTCTTGATGGCTTCGTCCTGTTGATCCAGGCGTTGGTTGACTGGAAGCAGAGCTGTCCCGACTGCGGCGTTTACACTCGACTTGATCTGGCTGGTGAAAGAATCCTGAATGTGACACTCCCACGGCCGCAGGCAAGGAAGACGAGACATCTGCTGCCGAAAGGAGCCTGGCACGGTTGTGAGAAACTAGTGTTGGAGCCCAACTCCGCGGTGAAGGCTACGAGAAACGATGCCAACCACCAAGTGCTTTGCCTGCCGCGGACTAACGGTATCCGTGCTCTGCCACGGGCAGAAGACATCTTGAGGCAAGCTTGGCGACGGAAAAGAGGAGGGGAGGAGGAGGAGGAGGAGGAGGATGAGGAGGAGGAGGGGGAGGAGGAGGAGGAGGAGGAGGAGGAGGAGGAGGAGGAGGAGGAGGAGGAGGAGGAGTAGGAAGAGGAGGACCAGTGTAAAACAAAAAGGCATCACCGATGTTGGAATTAAGCCTCCCTCCAAGTTCCCTCTTCACAAGCCCCCACAACGGCTCATTTCCATTGAGGGAAGTGCCTCGTTGGAAGACAACCGTTTGGAAATCCTGAAGCATGCCGAAACATGGTTCACGGGATTTCAACGCCACGTATCAACCTGATTGCTGCGTCTTGACCGTCCGGAATCGTGCCAAACCACCATTTTAGGGGATTCAACACCGCGAACCAACATAACTGTTGCACCCGCGTAGTCCTGAATCCGTCCAAACCACCATTTCTGGTACGTTGATCATGGGAGCCCGTGAGACTCTTGCAAAGTTTGAAAACGAATGTGCGCGGCGCTAAAGCGAGAGCCACATTTTGAAAACTACCCGCCCTCAATCCGTGAAGCCATTGTAATGTTTAAAGCGAGTGCGCGCGGCGCTAAGGCGAGAGCCACATTTTGACAACGGCCCGCCCTCCATCAGTAAAGCTTTTGTTATTTTTAACTTCGAAGTTATCAAGTGTGAGGAGGTCTCAAGCGAAACGCCCTGCCCGCCCTACAAACTTGCCTCGGGGTGCGACAGGGAGAAGTTATCTATAAAGAGGAATGAATGAGGACGAGGAGGAGGATAAGCAGAGGAGGAGAAGGAGGCTTCGTGATTTCAGCAGGTCTGTCACCTTACTATGGGGTCGAAGCCTCAGATATTGAAGTGAATTGGTGAGGCGGAAATCGAACCCGCGCTGGCACCCCGCATACAGGAGAGGGGCAGGAGGACAAGCTAGGTGCGCTCGCGTCATATCTGACATCCTACCCCTGAAGAGCACCGCAAAGCGTAGTATCAACCTAGCATTGCAGTGCATGCCGTGGCATGGCACGGGAAATGACGCCAGCGCTGCAGCGGGAGCAGGAGTCGAAACGAGCCGAATCGCGGAAATGAAGCCAGCGCTGCAGCGGGAGCACGATTCGGATCGAGCGGAAGCACGGAAATGAGGCCAACGCTGCAGCGGGAACACGATTCGGAACGAGCGGGGCCCGAAAATGAGGCCGGCGCCTCAGCGAGAGCAGCATTTTGAAAACAAATGCAGACGAAAACCCAACTCCGGGGAAACCTGTGTGTAAAAACCAATACGCGGGGGGGGGTCGGACACTCCCAGGCCGTCATCAGGGGAAGAGGGAGAGTAGTATTCATATTGAGTAATTGTTGAGGATCATGCGGATAATGCGGAGAAGACGATCTACGCTCGGTGAGCACAATGGAGCCTCAAATGACCCGCGGAGCGACAGCGTAATCCCCTGCCACCCTTACCCGATGAGCCCCTTCGAAGAAAAACACGGCCGACAATTGGAGGGCCCGCGCCGCGGGAGCCCCCAGCAGGCCTCAGCAGCCCCCTCCAGTTGGCAGCCAAAACCAAAAAGACTCTTGGGCAGTGCGGGCCGCACCGGAAGCGCCGTGCGGCGCACCGCCCGGGGCCCAGGGGCCCGCGCGACGGCAGGCGGGCCCCTCCGCACTGCCGCCGCGCCGTCGGATCGTGACGGGTGCCGCCGCTTCGCGGTCCATTGGACCGTGCGTGCGGAGTCGCAGGCCTGAGGGAGCCCGCGCCAGGAGGCCGAGCTGTTAGACTTGATCTCCAGCCCGCCCCCCGAAGGGACCCAAGGAGGAGGAGGAGCAGGGACATCGAGTAGGACGAGCCCAGGGGCCCCGATCCAGGGGGGCCTGAGCCTGACAACGGGGGCACCTCGAGCCCGCCCCACCCGACCAGTCGCCAGCTCCGCTGGCGGGGGCTCCCTTGCTATCCCGATGTGCTCACCTGGCCCCCCGGCTTGTGAGAAGGAGGAAGAGGAGGAAGAAGGGGAGGAGGAGGAGGAGGAAGAGGAGGAAGAGGAGAAGGACAAGGAGGAGGAGGAGGAGGAGGAGGGCCAGGGACCAGGGCGAGGATGAGATCTTGGAGGCGGACGAGATATCCCGGTGGCCTCAAGGCCCTCCAGGAACGGCTCCCTGCGCAGGTCGACGGCGGCCCCTGCCACGCACAGTCGCCTCCCCTGCGGGAGCAGCGCCGCGGCGCGCTCGTTGAACTGCAGCGCAGTCTTGAGGTGGTAGACGATGGTCCGCTACACGCAAGGGTGACCCTGGACAAGAGTGACCCTGGGTGCGCAGCTTCAGGTTTGGAAACAACTCCTGGGAGGTCTTCGTAACAACGATGAAGGGCTATGCGGCCCGATGAAGGGGGCCACTGAACCAGATTAGACCAGATTGGGCCCAGGATGAAGGACGATTGAGCGGGATTTAGCGGGCCAGTCTTCGGCCACGGATGCACCATCAACGATGCTGAATTTTACCTCCCAGGAGCTTCATCCTGATTCAGGGGATCGCGGGGGGACAGACACGAGCGCGCAAGCCAATGCGGGACCCCTGTGGCCCCGCGCCGAACCCTGAGACCCGACGACGCGAAACTTTGCAACATCGAGAGGATTCATGACCAGGGCCCCGGACGCCATCTTTCTGCTGTACTTTTCGACTGGGATCAACCTGTGAGGGTCTGGGCACAGACAGTGTGCGAGAACGCCAAGGCCTCGGAACAATTGCGACGCCAGGATCTCAGGGAAGGGTCACTCTGGCGGAAGATCCCTCTTGCGCGTGGCCGAAGTGGGCCCTAGAGGCCCCTCGCCAGCCGGCCTGAACGGGGTCGCGCCGACACGGGCCGCGCACGCGAGCCAGCCCGGGTCCAGATCGGTGATCTTCCCGATCTCCTCCACGATCTCTCTGGAGCACTCGGCGGACAGCCACGAGCCCTTCGTCAGGGCGGAGATCGAAGCCACCGCTCCGCTCTCGAACTCCCACTCCGCATAGACGTCCGGCGCCTCCTCGTATGACCACATGTGCAGGCGTCCCCCCTGGGTGCACCCATCCTGGCGAACGCAGAGGACATAGCCTGGGTCCGCCATGGCACGAATGTAGCTGCCATCGATGATCCAATGCCCGTATATATCAACATCATCGTCCTGTTCCCACATGTGCACCCAGCCCCCGTTCCTGCACGCGTCCTGCGTGATGCACAGCACGTATCTCAAATCAGCCCTCGCGCGGAGCACACCCTTGTGCACTACCCACTGGACTAATTTGTTATGCTGCGAATCTTGCTCCCACATCTGAACCCAGCCGCCATTCTTGCAACCGCCGCGAGACACGCCGAGCACGTACGCCTTGTCCGCCTGGGCATGATACCAAAGTGTGGCAGACTGAGGTGGCCAACAGCGGTTCTGAGACGTGCATGACCAATGCCGAACATGCTGACGACGCAAGAGCCACTGTGCAGGCAGGACAGTCAGTGGAGCAGTCAATAATGACATCGTCAACATCGTCATATCATCCCCCTCTTCATCGCTACTGTGCAGCACCTGGTCTGCTGACACGCCCGATCGGGTGACTCGGAGCGCGGCCTCTGCTCACCCCCGTTTTGCGGTCCCTTCCATCAGGAGCAAGGTGTCGCTGCCGCATCGTCTGGTCAGCCTCTCAACTGCTCCCCGTCTCCTCCCTGAGGGGGAACGTTGGGGGGGGCACCTCCGGGGGTGAACATCGACCTGTAATCGGCAATACATCGCCAGTAGATCGGTGCCATGCCCCCCGATGCGGGAACCCCGCGTTCCCGGGTGGGTGGGATATCGGGCCCCTATCGCCGATACATGGGCGGTTAAGGTTGATACGTCCCCCCCGGAGCCTATCCCCCCCACGTTGCCCCTGACTACCCTTTCCCCTGTTCTCATGCTCCTTGCTCTCCTCCTTCTGGGCGCGTTCGGCCTCGTGCCCAACGGGGAGCGCCCTGTCCAGACGGCGCGCGAGGGGGGGAGGACTGCGCAGCCAGCATGCTGCGAAGCCTTCGTCGCCACGGCCCCGCTCTGCCGATGCGTCGGCTGCCGTGGGGCGGTGGACGCGCCGACGGGCGAGGGGCGGCGAGCACACGTGCGGACGACCCTGCAAAGCGAAAGGCGAAACTGCACAAGAGACGCTGGACGAGGGCCTTTGGCTTTCGGCTCAGCCTTCCCGGAGCTGGCCGTGGATGCGGCGTGATGGGCAGCCGAATGTAATGCCTAGCTACTTGGTAGACAACTTCCCGGTGGCCTTTGACAACGTCCTGGACCCCAAACCTCCGACGTCGTGATCCGATCATCAAACCGACCTCCAAAGATCGCGACGCATTCCCTGGGCCTGGCTTTCATCCCGAGTCGTTTTTTGAGGGCCCCGAGGCCCGATGAGGGCACCCGAAGGCTGAAAATTGCCGAACACTTTCGCCGGGATTTTTCATGAGTCGAGGGGGTCTCGGGTCGGAGAAGCGTCGCCGGAGGGCCAGGATGGAGGATGCTCCAGTTCCGACGCTTCCTGCTGCACCCGCCGCCGCCACGGAGCCGCCAGAGTCGAGGATTCTCGACCACGAAGTGCAGCAAGCGCTGCCTAACGAGGCACACGGTCAGGGAGGGGATCGCTGGATCGGATCACCAGGAAGAGCGTCAGGGCCCTCAAAACCAGGACATTGCAGACCAGGACTTTGACAAAGCCACCTGGAGAGAGCGACAAGTGGGTTGGATAATGTTTCGACCTACGACTGCAGTTTGCTCGGGCGTGCCAGAGTCATGGTTTATGAGCAATTCTTGTTTCGGTTCCCCCGAGAGCGCGTCGGAGCCGCTGCGCCAGAAAGAGAGGACGGGGAAGTTCTCCAACAGGCCAGACCGACTCCCCGGGTCATCTCTTCTTGCGGCTTTCAAGCGCGACGGACATGCCTGACTTCAAGGACGGCCTGAACACGATGGGGGGCAATAGCCTATGTAAACGCCTTCTTTCCTGGTGCTTATTTCTTGGGATCGCGCCCTGGGGAAGTTGGGCATCTTCTAACCGATTCCCATCCCTACTGGCATGGGTTGCCCCCGCTGACCGATTGACGCCCTGGGATGGAGATATGAGCTGTTCCTTTTGGGTTTTGTGGGGCCCATCCCCGCTCAAGGTGGGCGAGCTGGTGAGGCTGAGATGCCATGACCCAATGGGGATGGGGATCGGTTGAACGATGCACCGGGTTAGGGACTAGAGCCGAAAGCGCAAGAACGCTGCGGAGACTCTGGGAAAGGGAATATCCGCATTGCCGCCACGCCTGCAAGAGCCTCCGTCTTGCCCCGCTCCGAAGGCCGTTCCCAGGGCAGGCCGGGTGCGTTCCGGGGGCGTGTAGCGAGGGCAGCTCGCTTCCCAGACCCCGAACATCATGAATTGTTCATAACGTCGGCGCCCAAAAGGTGTCGACCCATTCCCGGGGACCGGTTTTTCAGCCCCAAGCAATTGTTTTTTCACGGTTCCGAGGCCTGATAAGGGCCCCCCGGAGACCGAAAGTAGCGAAACACCGCCATTTGTTATTTTTCATGCCTCGAGGAGGTCTGGGTTTGGCCAGCCGCGGGCCGTGCGATGAACTGGCAACGCGACACGCTGAGCAAGCCTTCCCGACCGTAAGCAGCTGGCGGCTCGTTTCTGTTATTTTGCAGAAGGGAAGGAAAAGAGGAGCGAGCGACCACTGAACCTCACCACGGTGCGACTCGCAAAATGGCGCGAAACAGACGATCGCCAGTCGACAAAGAACACTACACCGACCTGTCAATCAGCCCGCGGCCCCCCTGAGCTGCCGTGGCGCACTTGCGTACGATGTAAGCAAGCGTGGACCCACAGCATTGATTTCTACGAGGCGCAGTCTAGGTGGTGCAACCAATCTGCTGCAATCTAGGTGGTGCAGTATCCATGTGGTGCATAACAACGCAATGCAAAATAATGCGAAGCCATGCGCCGCAATGCAGAACAATGCCAAGCGATGCCAAACAATGTAAGCCAATGCAACACAATGCAACACACTGTATCACACCATCATGCGATACGGAAACATCCAATGCCATGTTATGCAACGGAGTACCAAGTACTGCGAAGCAATGCGATCACTGCAAAACGATGTAACGCAACGCAAAAAAGCAACACAAGAAACAACACTGAACAGCAATGCGAGGCACTGCAAACCAATGTGGAGCAAGACAATGCAGCGTAAACGCATGTTAACCATGGTGGGCCCCAAACAGTGCGTCTAGCAATCGGTGTCGTGCAACATATATATATATATATACACATACACAAAGACTGCAGTGGCGCTTCGCGCCATGCGCCTTGTTCTGGACGCTTCCCTGGCAAAGCAACAAATCATCGCTTGATTCAGCAGGGCGGACCTCGAGGCCTGGACGGGCGACCCGCTCATTTTTCCGACATACCTGGTGCCTGCTGACACCGCGTTCGGCCGATGCGCTTGCACGCTTGTGCGCAGGAATGGGGAGGAATGGTGGCTTTTTCACGCGCGAAGGTCCTTTGAGGAAGTTGGGAGCGTTCCCATGACACGCCGAAGAAGTCGCAGTAGCTCCGGACATCTCGGTTTTGGTCGCTTCCCGAATGCCGGGAGGGCTCCAGACACTCAGGATATCTTCGATCGTTGAACTTCGAATCTAGATCCATTGCCTGTCTCTCTCGGTCGAGGAACTAACACCTCGAGCCTCAAGCGTGGAACCGAAATCGTCGGGTCAGCTTGATGTACCTCGTAGGAGAACGCCGTCTGGGCGTTTGGGGGGCTCTTTTGGGCCGTCCTGGGGGCTTCTTGGGCCGTCTTGAGGAGCTGGGGCCCTCCAGAGGTCTTCTGAAGCCATCTAGGGCCCTCTTGCGGGCCTCCAGTGGCCTTCTTGGAGGTATCCCATGGTTTTCGCGGGTCGCTTGGGGGCCTTCTGGGGGCATCTTGGGCTTCTGGTGGACAGTCTCGGGGCTCCCTGGGGCAGTCTTGGGGCCCTCTTGGGACGTCTTCAATCCCTCTGGGGGGCCCCTTGGGCCATCTTGGGGCGATATCGGGGGCCCATTGGGCTGTCTTGGACGCTGCGAAGACCCAAAAAGCGGAGATGCAAAACAACGCTGA